AAAAATTCTAATTACGAGCACCTTTCCTCGTAACAATGCTAAAAACTTTATCGGGAGGCAAATAAGAACCAAAGTTGCAAGTACACAATTATCAAGTTATAGTATGGAAAAATATCGATCCCATGAGGAAGTTGTTGTAGGAAATAATCAAAATTTGATTCTTAAGTTGTATTGTGTGACAATTAGGAGTGATGAAAGTGGCTGTGGAGAGATAAAGAGAGTGGTTGTGACTATATGCAAATAAAAGCGAAACTAGATTAAGAGGGGAGAAAAAAGATGAAGAAAATAAAGAAAAATAAAATCAAAAAATAAATAAAGAAAAATCAAGAATAAATAAAAATGTCAAGAAAGTAAAAGATGGTGAATTTAATTAGAGATATGAGGAATCTAAAATTGAATCCACTAGTCAATTTCACTTAGAATTATGAACTATTTTTCTTTTTATCACATTTTACTTAAGATATATTAAACATAGACTATTAAACCAGTTAAGGAAAGTATAATCTATCAAATTATCATTCAAGTAAAATTATCATTCATGAAAAGAATAATACATATATATTAATTTTAGAATTCATAAGCATAAACTACCAAACCACTCAAGATAAACATAGATTATCAAATTCTTCTTCTCTAGTTGATTGTCCTAAATATAATCATTATAAGCACAAGTGAACAATTCACAAATTATAAAAGAAATAAAACTAGTTTCATATAATTCTAGAATCCTTACAAGATAGTTTCACATTTTAGAAAATTAAAATAAAGAAATGAAATCTAAACTAGAGAGAATAAAAGAAAGAGAATGAAAATAAGAACTAGCTACAAAAAGGAAAATAAGAATAAAGATTAAAGATCTAAACTATGAACAAAAAGAGAAGAACATAAAAGAAAATCTAAACTATAAATCGATACTATCAAATAAAAAGACAAGAAAAAAAATAAAGATATGGAAGTAAATCTACTCTACAATGCATCAAAATAAATCTAAAACAAGAGGGTTCTAGCTCCTTATGTATCTAAAATAAGAAAAGAAAATATTATAAGAAAATAAAAGATAAAATAAAAAATTTACATTGCAAGAGGGTTCTAGCCTCTTGAAAGCAAACATTTATCTTCATCTTCATCTTTATCTTCATCATTAAATAAAGAGAAGGAAAGACAAATATGAAGATGTGAATTTTTTTATTAATTGCAACAGAATTATCATTTTTAAAAGGTCTTCTCAATTAAGAGTAACCCTCCTCTCCAAATAGAGTTTTTACAAATATTTTTACATTTAAACCTCTCACCCTCTACCGCTATTTATAGCCTATAACAATAAATGAGAACCATTAGATTTAGCTTGGAGATCAAGAATTAAATTTCAACCAAAAAACTATTTCTGTTGCGAACCAATCTTGACCGACCGATTAGCCAATCAGTTGGCCAATCGATTGTTTTGTAACAGGTTTAGATTTTTATTAATTTTTTGACCCAATCTTTTTATAGATCCTTGAGATTTCTTAGGCCTTCTTTTGTCTTCATATTTGGGCTTCAGTGAATGATAGAAAATAAGAGAGTTTGATTCTTTAGACTTTTATTTATTAATTTTTTATTAACCTACAAATTAAGATAAAACATATTATTAGTGTTATATTTATTTAAATAAGATGGATAATAAGGGTATAAAATTGTAACAAAAATGTGATTATCAAACAATGTCCCACCTGAGATGCAAATTTGAATTTTTTTATCACTATCTATTTCTTTATCGAGATTGACAATTATAAATCTAAAAGAATCCTTTTTAATTCTTTGCAAAACACCAACGAATCATAAACATCATATATTTATGTTCATTTAGACCATCATAACTGTAGAATATCTCCACCACATCTTCCAACTTTCCATAATATGTTATGTTATTTTCAACTTAATTCTAATCTCTTCTGTTTGAGAAACATTCCTGTGAGAAAGTAGCCATGACACCACTGTTCTGGGTAACCTTTGTATCATCAACCTAAACTGTGTGAAATTTGTATCTATTAACACGACATCCACCATATTGGTTTACGGCATAGTAAGGACGCTGTGCATGAACCTTTACTTCTTCTGATATTTGGTTATTAAGGACAAGTTGTTCTTGGATCTAACAATAAATATTAATGAAACTATTAAATCAATAATTACTAAGTTTTTAGTGAAAAATATAAATATTAAGTTAAGTTACTTTGTTGATCATATTATGTTTAAAGTTAGTTTAATTAGGGTTCGAGACTTAGGGCAATGTAATTAGGTTTAGTATTAGGATTATTTTCGGTAGTTAGTTCATAGAGTTAAGATTAGAGTTATATATATTTAAATTAATTAATTTGTTTTAGGATTAAGATCAAATTTGGGTAAAAATTATTTGAATTAGGCGAGTCATTAACTTGGGTAATGAATTTAAGGTTATAATTAGGACTATTTTGATTAGATTTATTCAATAAGGGTTATTAGATTAGTAGTAGGCTAACTAAAGTTTAATTAGTACTATTATATATTAGATTAGGGTAAGAAAATTGATAAAGTTAGTTTAAGTAGGGTTCTACATGTAGGGTAATGTGATTAGGTTAGTATTATGCTTGTTTTGGATAGATTAATTTAATTGAGCTATTAAAGTTAGGATTAAAGATATTAAAGTTAAATTAGTTAATTAGAGATAGAAAAATGCTAAATTTTAGGTTAAAGTTAGTTCAATTAGGGTTATATACTTCTGTAGATAAGTTTAATTGGTTAGATTTGATGAGAGCTAAAGTTAGGGTTAAGGTTACCAAACTTAAAGTAAGCTTAATTAGGGTTATATGCTTAAAATAATTCTCTAGGGGTTATGATGATGATCAATTTGGGTAAATCATTCTAATTTAGGTTGGATTAGGGTTTTTTATTTCAAATTTTCTAATAGGAGCAAACCATAACCCATAAAATTATAAAAAAAATAAAAATAGAAATTATCAAAAGATAATATCTTGAGACGATCGGGGATGATGGCAGCACGCGCTGGAGGCGGAGAGATGGTCGGCTGGGTGACTACGGACTCGATAGCGGGAGAATGGACGCCGGTGATGGGATGGCGTACGAGCGATGGTGGAGGGGTGCAGAGGGTTTAGGGTAAAGGTGAAAGTGGAGGCTATGGTAAAAAAAATTATCTTAATGATAAGGTAAATTTTTTCGTAGGGATAAGTCCCTCCAAAAATTTTCAACATCGGTGGTG